GTCCCCAGCGCGGCAGGGCTGCCCCCAGGACAGGCTGCTGCTGGTGGGGGCTGTGGCCCTGGGGCTCTCGGTGCTGCTCAACGTCTTCCTCCTCTCCCTCGGGACGAGGCGGAGTGAGTATGGGGTCTGCGGGGCTCAACGGAGGGGTCCCCAACCTTGGGGAATGACGTGGGGCAGAGGGAAGGTGCTGGGGGGGCTCCTTGGGGGCTCCCCAACATCGGGAGGTGATGTTGGGGCAGAGTTGGGGTCCTGGGGGTCTCCGTGGGGACCCCACCCTTGGGAAATGAGGATGGGGCTGAGCTGAAGTGTTTTTTTGGGGAGGGGTCTCCACAGGGGCTCCCCCACTTTAGAGGATGCTGCTGGGGGCAGAGTTCAGGTGCTGGGGGGCTCCACGGGGGTCTTCTCCACTTTAGGATGTGATGCTGGGGCTGCTGGGGGTGGTGTTGGGGTCCTGGGGGTCTCCAGGGGGACTCCCCTGTTTTAGGGGATGATGCTGGGGCTGTTGGGGCAGAGTTCAGGTGCTGGGGGGCTCCATGGGGGGTCTTCCCCGCTTTAGGATGTGATGCTGGGGCTGCTGCGGGTGGTGTTGGGATCCTGGGGGTCTCCACGGGGACTCCCCTCGTGTTTTAGGGGCTGTTGGGGCAGAGTTCAGTGCCGGGGGGCTCTGTGGGGGCTCTCCAACCCTTGGGGATGATTTGGGGACAGAATTTGGGTACCGGGGTCTCCGTGGGGTCTCCCCAACTTTAGGAGACGATGCTGGGTCTGCCGGGGGCGGAGCTGGGCCGTCCGTCTCCCCCCCTTCCTCCCCGCCCCCTTGATGCCCTACACTTTCAGGATTCCCCTTCTCTCCCCCAGTCGCAGCGCTGACCGCAGCCCTGCAGGACGCGGAGAAGCTGCAGCCCAACCCCGGCATGGGTGCGCGCCGCGTTCCCCTCCTCCCCCCATCCCCAACCGCAGCCCCGTCCCCGCACGGGCGCCCACCCCAAAACCCCAACCTCCGTTCCCGCAGCGTCCCGCTCCTTCCTGCTGTACAACAGAGCTCACGACATGTGCGTGGAAGCCCGCGGCCGGCAGCTGACCGCCTCTCCGTGCCTTCCCGAATCGGCGGCCCAACGCTTCCAGTGGCTGCCGGGGATGCGGCTCTGGAACGCGGAGAGGCGGCTGTGCGTCACGGCGGCGGCGGGGCAGAATTTATCCGTCGTGATGCTGCAGCCCTGCAGGGAGGACGGAAGGTTGCAGCGCTGGGAGTGCGGAGGAGGGGGGCTGCTGGCTCTGGCCGGGCAGCGGCTCTACTTCAACTACGGGAACAACGCGAGGCAGACGGTGATGCTCTACGTGGGGGACCGCGAGTGGAGCCGATGGGTCGCGCACGGGAGCGGCGAGGAGCTGTGCGCGCGCTCCTGTCAGTGCCCAGCGGGGGGTGATGGGGGTCTGCTGGGGGTCTGGGGGCTGCTGCAGCCCAAAGAGGCAGCAGCCTGGCCACAAACTCAGCCTGAACCCAAACTGCCCCAAACTCAGCCTGAACCCAAACTCAGTTCAAACCCAAACAGCCC